ATGGCAATAACAAATTGACTTTCTTCAGTAGCAACCTCCCAGTTTGATAATAACACACGTAGTTATTACTTTTATTTTTTCATTTGTTTATTTTAACTTGTTTTGATTGTGAAGGAAGAAAGGTTGCCACACGGGTCAAACTCGCATTTTCGACTTAAATATTGGGTTTTATATGGTTATCTGTGTTTGGACTAATACTATTCATTATTTATTCATAAGGGTGACCCCCATCTGATCCCTATGATATCAAAAACCCATAACACATCCATATGTTTCCCTCTTTTTAATATCCATATATCCACTTTTTCTCGTTTTCTCTTTTCTCGCTTTCCACTTCTTCCTCGTCCCCCTCCTTCCACTCCCATCCCCCAGCTCTCCATATCCCTATTCTAAAAGTCAAATATCCTGGTATTACATGTATTATTGCCATCCCAAAAAGTATATGTTTATAAATGCGCTTTCGTGAAGTATTTCATATTTAAAAGAATAGAGTATATGAATTGCAATACCGGTGTTGCTTTCCTCGGCGTATAACTCCAATAACATATTCTCTGTCCAACAAGAATATAATGTTATATCCTTATAAAATATGGCACGACTAACGGTCTCACCATGATCCTAGCCACAGAATACGTTAAAATCAACACATATTTGAGATAAAACTATGTTCGCAGTCACAGGCATTATGTGGCTAATAATATCATCAGTTACTTGTTGGTTATTTGGGCGTGTCTGGTTTCTCGATGGTATGTATAGGTAGTACATGTTTACGTTTGAATATAGTTATCTGGCTATCTATCTATCCATCCATCTCTCTCTGTCTTGCTATCTATCCAATCTCTCTCTTCTATCTATCTATCTATCCATCCATCTCTCTGTATTGCTATCTATCCATATCCATCTCTGGTCTATCTATCTATCTATCAAACCATCTATCTCTCTATCTCTCTAGCTATCTAATCCATCCATCTCTCTGTCTTGCTATCTATCTATCCATACCATCTCTCTCTCTGTCTTTCTATCTATCTATCCATCCATCTCTCTCTGTCTTGCTATCTATCTATCCATCTATCTCTCTGTCTTTCTATCTATCCATCCATCTCTCTGTATTGCTATCTATCCATCCATCTCTCTGTCTAGCTATCTATCTATCAAACCATCCATCTCTCTAGCTATCTAGCTATCTATCCATCCATCTCTCTGTCTTGCTATCTATATATCCATCCATTTCTCTGTCTTGCTATCTATCTATCCATCCATCTTCTCTGTTTTGCTATCTATCCATCCATCTCTCTTTCTTGCTATCTGTCTATCCATCCATTTATATCTTAATTGTATCCCATGTCTTTGGTTGCAAGTCGTACTAGGATATAAGATTTTATACTATGGCGGTCATCAAAACATGGCTTTTGCATCCACAGCGATGAAGGCTTATATAAGGATGGTTTAGATATGTATTCTTTCTTATTTTTCGTGTACTTTCTTGCAAAACGGTAATTTTCGGCAATTTCCGTGATCTGCCTCCGCCCCCTAAGTTTGGGAACCACTGCTCTAGTGTTGGCTATTTATGCACTTGCCTTCGGATCTCTGTCAATATTGATATAGCGAGGGAAAAGGTAAATAAATCCATGTGTGTGTGTGTGTGTGTTTGAGTGTTGTGTGTGTGTGTGTGTGAGTGTGTGTGTGTGTGTGTGTGTTGTGTGTGTGTGTGTGTGTGTGTTGTGTGTGTGTGTGTTGAGTGTGTGTGTGTGTGTTTTGAGTGTGTGTGTGTGTGAGTGTGTTTGTGTGTGTTGAGTGTGTGTGTGTGTGTGTGTGTGTGTGTGTGTGTGTGTGAGTGTGTGTCTGTGGTATGTGAGTAGTGTGCAAGTACACATGTATAAATAGTGATAACATGCCTTTTATCTAAGACGAATAGTCTCATAAGTAAAGGAAAATCGTCTTTTGCTGAAATCTGCGCTGAATGTCTGAGAAATGTTAAGGCATTTACCGCTGGTCAGGATTCTTTGCGGAGAAGAAAAGGCAGAGGAAGAAGACGAAGGAGGCTGGGGAATTAAGATGTAAGAATCTGCAGATGCTGGGAATGAAAGAGCAACAATAAACGGAGAAAAGACGGCGAAGAATTAATGTATATATATGTATGTATGTATATATATGTATGTATATATATTATATATATATATATATATATATATATATATATATAATATATATATATATAATATATATATATATATATATATATATATATATATATATATACATACATAAAAAATATATACATTTACACGCACACACACACACAAACACACACACACACACACACACACACACACACACACACACACACACACACACACACACACACACACACACAACACACACACACACACACACACACACACACACACACACGTATAAACAGAGAGAGTGACGAGCATGTTGTTGGCACGCAGGCTGGCAGCGGTTATGTCCAAATGGTAGGATAGCAGTTACACGCTCCCCACCTATTATATTCCGGTTATCCCAGGGTGTCCTGCACAAGGGGGTGAGGCGAGGGCGTCACACGGCGGGCGAAATGTGTGGGCGTGTTTCCCGGTGCGAACTGTATCCGCCCTTCCCAGTCGAGGAGGGAAACACGTCTCGACACACGATCTGCACCACGAGTCTGAGTGTGTGTGGGAGGGAGGGACGGGGGGGGGGGGGGGGGGGGGGGAGGAACGAGACATGGAGGCAGTAAGACGCCTCGAGAGAACGGGTGAGGTCGAGCGGGTGAGGTCGACTCGGGTGGAGGGGCGCGGGGATGACCCTCTTAGCGAGCGACGAGAAAAGGATAGTCACTAGTAGAGAAGAAGGGAGAAGGGGGAAGGATGTGTAACCAAGAGATAGGGTCTGTGGCTACGGCTGCCATGGGGGTCGAGGATACTCCATGCTTATGATGATGACGTTAAACTAATAAAATGTGGAATTAATGAACGGACGAAAAAAAAAATAGTAGTAGATTAAATAAATAGAAGACGACGGTTAGAACAATTATCTGCAAAGACGTTACAAGTAAAATGGTTCAGAAAACGTTGCATTTGATGTATCTTCACAAGTAAAGAATTTTGCAATACGAGCATGGAGGAAATAGAAATTATGAATTTCTTCAACCTGGTTTTATAAACGATTGATGAATGGCTAAATAAAACGAAGGTTGCGTAGGGGCGAGAGAAACCCGTAGAGACAGAATATCGAATACATTGAGAAACACGTTAAAATACAATACATTTTTCCGAATAAATAAGTTACCACTTACGTTAGCTCCGATGCGACGAGAGTGGAAAAAATCGCCCAAATAATCCAAGGCGGAATAATCAAAATAATCACGTTAGGCGATCTAAAACACCCTTATTA